GGTGCAGATGAGTAGCTGAGTCTGGGCTGCCTGTTTTGGTTTTTTGTATCAGCAGGAATACTGGGATCAGTTGGGTATGTTAGACAGAGACTGGTTCCCAGTAAGGCTTCATTTCTGCTGCTAGTTTTTTCAGAATCCTGATAACTTTTCATCAGAATACATAATCATAGGAGGACCAGGACACACTGAATGATTATGTCTCTCTGCTGGCCTGGAGCGCCTCAGGAGGAGTCTGGATGAGGGGGCGGCCTGGATGGGGGGGCGGTCTGGATGGGGGGGCGGCCTGGATGGGGGGGGCGTCCTGGATGGGGGACGGTCTGGGAGTCTCTGCTGAGGCTCTGCCCTGTGACCCAGTCCTGGATGAAGCGGGAGACGAACCAGTAAGAAGACGTCCACATAGAGGTTCTGTGTGCGTAAAAATATGTAGGATTGAGTATATTTGAAGAGAGAAGACATTTTTACAGTCAGTACGAGAATAAGCAGAATGAAATCCTGATTCAAATTTAAAAAACATGCTCTTGATTCAGCAGGTAATTTCTCCCATTGATCAAACGGCTGATAAACTGTTCCAACAGGATGAAGTATCTGAGACGGTTTATGATGTTTAGAGTTCATGATGGAAACGTTCTGATGATCTTCATCAATGTTTTTACTCACAGGCCCCAAACAGCCATGAATGTTGGTATCAAGCATAACAACAGCTGCTAGAAAAACAGAACCAGAAGAACCGATGCTCTGATCACAGAGCTACCTGCACACCATCCAGCTTAGCAGGACAGATGGCAGCCTCAGATATGCAGGACTTAACTAACGGCTTTTTGTTTTTTCTGCAGGAAGCTGTCCAGGCTTTTGTGTCTAACCTCAAAGAGCAAGGAATATTTGCCAAAGAGGTTCGCAGTGCCGGCGTGGCGTTCCACTCCTACTATATGGCCTCCATTGCTCCCAACTTGCTGGCTGCTCTAAAGAAGGTACGCAGACCTGCCTGGATTCAACAGCTGCTCGCTGCATCCAAGTTGTTTTAGAGCAACTCCAAACACATTTCCTGTTATTTCTGCTTTCTTATCATCATCATGGCCGTAGCTTAAAGCACGTGGAGATGTGGTTAGGGGCTGGTTGTTCTTTCCTCGGTTCTTACAGTGCAATGTCCGTGGTTCTCTGCTGCAACAGAAAGGTCTTAGTGTTCGTCTGTAGATCTGTGCTGAGCTGAACCACTGCACAGTTAAAGTGCAGTCTGAATGTTTGATAACTGATTGCTGTGAGCTATGTGACCGGCGGCCTGTTTGGTCCAACAGTCAGAAAACCTCACAGCTTGACTAAAGTTACCCCTCAGAACATGAGCCTTTGGTTTGGCTTTAACCTCAGTATGTGTTTGGAACGCTCCTGAAAAACAATACACTAATCACTGGCTCTGAGCTAGCTGCCGGTCAATGGCTATGAGCTTGCTGCTGGTCACTGGCTATGAGCTAGCTGCCGATCACTGGCTATGAGCTAGCTGCCGATCACTGGCTCTGAGCTAGCTGCCGGTCACTGGCTCTGAGCTAGCTGCCGGTCACTGGCTCTGAGCTAGCTGCCGGTCACTGGCTCTGAGCTAGCTGCCGGTCACTGGCTCTGAGCTAGCTGCCG